CCCCCCCCCCCCCCCAAAGAACTTTTTTTGAAAAAAAACAGCGAGGGTTTTTCCTGCCCCAGGGTTTTTTCCCCGGGGGTTTTCCCCCACCAAAAAGGTTTTTTTTAGGGGGGTCTAACCCCCCCAAAAATTTGGGGTCCTCCAGGGGAGCCCGCCAAAAAAAAATTTTTGGGTTTTTTTGGTTTTTTTTTTTGAAAAAATTGGGGGGGGCCCCCCCTTTTTTTTTTTTCTGGGGGCCCCAATTTAAAAGGGGGGAAAAAAACCCCTTTTTCTAAAGGGGGGGGGGGGCCGGGGGGTTTTTTTTAAAGGGGGAATTGGGGGCCCCCCAAAAACCCCCCCCCGAGGGGGAAATTTTTTTCGGGGGGGGGGGGGGGGGGGGTTCCCTTTTTACGTTTTTTTTCCGGGGTTTAAAAAAAAATTCCCCAGGGGGGGGGTTTTTTTTTCCCTTTTTTTTTTTTTTCAGCCCCCCCCCCCCCCCCCCCCCCCCCCCCCCCCTTTCCCACGATGACGAGAAGACAAGGTGCTGTTGGCGGACTTTGGGCTCGCGAAGCAACTCCCGAAGGGGGATCCGGGACTTCTCGTTGGAGCGTGCGGGACGAAGGTTGGGATAATGAGGACGGCGTTTTGGGGAGAAGAGAGAGAGGAAGAGCTCGGACTTGCTTTTGTTTCTGTTGGGGTGCATGAGGGTGGGTATGGCAAGAAAGAGCCTTCTTTTTGGCGGGAGGTTGTTGAGAGGATGGGGAGAGACTCGCTCTCATGAAGCGTTTTGGTGGTGTTGTGAAAAGGGCGAGAGGAGTCTTGTGATAACTTGGAGGATCTACGTGACGCTCCCTCCACGTTAGGCTGCAGAGCATCCATTGTCTCCGTGCAGCTGTCCCCGCCTTTGAGGACATTCGTGTTGTTTATTCAGACAAACTCCAACTTTTCCCCCGCTGACGCTTGTTCATGCTCTCTGTCGTGCGTGCATGCATCCCCCGTGTACCACACCCAACATCCTTTTTCCACTCCGCAGCCGTACCTCGCTCCCGAGCTGGTGCGCGATGTCCCGTACGACGCCGCTGTCGACATGTGGGCCGTGGGCGTGGTCACCTACGAGCTCCTCCACGGCTACACTCCATTCAGGTCCGTTTCCTTGGTTTCAGCGCCCCCCCCCCCCCCCCCACTCGCCCCACA